TAACTCATTTGATCTCTTTTTTAAACTTGCAGAGACCTTGGGCCCCACGCCTTGCGAAGCTAGTGATGTTGTCGGACGGTGAGAAGAAGTTAAGCAAGAAGTAAGTGATGCTTATTGGATGCTTGGTGCGCGGCGGATCCTCCGCTTTTGCGCTTTCTGTCGCGCGCCATCTCTCTGCGGCTCATGGCAAGTGCCGAAGGTCAGTTCTAGCCTATTTCAGTGTTTAGGCTGATGTGTAGTGGTAGGCACATAAATGCTAGCTGATTATAGGTATTTTTTAACCTGAATTGCTGCCTTTGAATTACGCTATGCGAAGTTTTGCAGCTGGGAAGTATTAAATATACGATGTAGTCACTTGACTTTTTTTGAAAGTATAGGTTGATTGAAAATGAAATGGTAAAATGGTAATGGTTGAAAATGATATCTTTCTGTGATATCACAATGCATCAGCTCATTCCTGAAATAAGTTTTTCTGACCCGAGCTCCTTATTTGGAGGGCTGAGACAATACACTTCCTTTAGTGAACAGAAAAGATTGGCAAAGCAAGCGCAGAAGGAAAAAGAAAGATTAGAGAAAGAAGCAAAGAAAAATGCTGACGCTAGCCAAGCGGGAAAATCTGAAAAGGTTATAACGTTAGCTACCTCTTCGATGGCTTCTTGTCTTCATGAATTATTACAGCATGCCAAAGAGGCAGATCCATCAGATCCTCAAGAATACTTTAACATGCGTGTTGGTATGATAAATAGCCGAAGAGCAGCCGGCGAAAACCCGTTTCCCCATAAGGTTAGTGTTCTCCTTAACGCTATATTTTCAATTTAACCTTAATTCTTTCATATAGTTCAACGTCACTATATCGATTGCTGCTTTTATCGAGAAATATGAGCACTTAAAGAACGAGGAAGTTTTGAATGATGTGCGAGTTAGCATTGCCGGTCAGTTTGTGCTGTTTGTTTTGAACCTCTTGGGTCTTCAGATTGTTACGTTTTTTTGTTTATGGAAGAGTGGAATCCTAAATTTTCGAAATGAGTAGCCTGAAGAAAAGTGCTTTATGCCTGATTAGCAATCTTTTACAAACATCTTGCCAATTTTATTCGAACCATGGTGAAACCGATATTCTGAAACGCTGATGTTTAGGACGTATATATTCGAAACGTGAATCGGGCAAGAACCTTGTTTTCTACGATGTGCATAGTGGCGGTACTCGTTTACAGGTCCCTCTCCACATATTCGAGATTTTTCAACGTCTAGCAAGTCTTACTTTAGGTTATGGCAAATGCTAGATACCATGCTGCTGGTGCAGAAGACTTCAGCAAAGTTCACGAAAGGATCAGACGTGGAGATATAGTCGGCTTCATTGGACATCCAACTAGGTAAGTTCTTAGCTTCGTGTTTTTGGTATATGAACTGTTTGATTGCATCTCAATTTTGTCATCATCATATTCAGGAGTAAAACCGGAGAGCTGTCATTGCTGCCCACTGAAGTAGAGCAGCTTACCCCTTGCTTACGCATGCTCCCACATACCCATTATGGCCTGAAAGATAAAGAGCTGAGGCAAGTATCAGTCGTCTTCAATATCATCACTTCCAAATTTTTCAACACTACTTTTGATGGTTTTTCTTATTTATCAATTTCAAATGTTTTACTTTCCAGGTATCGTATGCGTTACCTAGATCTTATCATCAACCCTGAAGTGAAGGATAAGTTTGTTGTTCGAAGTAAACTCATTACTTTCTTGCGTAGATATCTTGACAATTTGGGATTCTTGGAGGTAAGCCTTTTGTTACCTACTCTTGTCTATAATGATATGAGGGTTTATCGTCAGGTCGAAACCCCAATAATGAACCAAATTGCTGGTGGCGCCACTGCGAAACCGTTTGTCACGCATCACAATGAACTTGACATGG